GTTAAAGTGTTAGTAAAAGAGCAGTAGCGTAAGTACCGTGACGGTGCGATGCAATGCGTTCACTTTCTCTTTTCCCCTTCACTGAAGCCTTCATCTGCAGATGGAAGTTGACTTCGTCATTCTGAAGGGGGATTTTTAGGGTCTGAGCTCTCTAGAAGACTTCAAAATATGGTCATCTAGAGCATCTTAATGGTCGGAGAATTCTCAAAGGGCATTACTCTATCGAGATCCTTTTAAAGAGAACCCATCTTGAAATACGCGGAAAAGCACAATGCTACGTAACTCAATAGTCCATTGTTATTAGATTTCTTCCTTAAAGGCCCGACCAGTAGGAAGGATACCACGAGGGAAAAGGTCCGTACCTACCTAGATCACTCCAGCTTCGTCGCAAAATTGCGCGGTTAGGGCGCTAATCCTTACGGGCCTGCAACCATCGACCCCGTTCCAACGCTTCCCACCCACCGCGAGAGGTGGTGAGATCAGCGTGCATTGATGTAGAGATCAGCGTGCTCTCTCAAACGACGTGCTCTCTCGCGTATTTTGTCTTCTTTGATCGCCCTGTCTCGCCATCGTACCACATCCGACCTTACTTGAAGGTTAAGGCCTTAATTTCAGCGTTCCCAAAGATTCTCTTGCTTTCCTTCCCACTTTCAGGTCGTTCCGCAGCTAAGCTATCACTACGAAGCGCTCATAGCACCAGTTTAATCCCGGAGTTTGCCTTTAAGGGTATCATTGGAATTTCTTGTTCCCAATACTTCTTCTCCTCGGTGTTTGCCAAGATTTCGGACTAGATAATAACAGAGATGTGTTTTTCTCTCCCATATCTAATTATCGCTACGGAAAATATCGATAAATATTATAATTTTGCATTGTATGAACTGGAGTTGATGTCAACCATGCTGTTTGATGGCTAGGTTGTTGAATTTTGTTTACAGTAGCGTTCAAAAGCTTCAGATGGAACAATTCCAAGTCATAACGTTTTTTCTGGTGGATTGGATTGTATGAAATTTTGTTATTTTTTGCATTAGTTAATATGAACCATATCACAATATCTATAGGCATAGGAGCAAAGAGGGATACGTGATTACTTGAGAGTTTTCCATGTGATTACTGTAATTTTACCTCGTCGAGACAACATATATATTTGCATATTATGATTTTCTGCATCTTGGTTTGTGATTTTAACTCTTGTTGTTTTTTGAAATAGTCAAAACCAAACAGCTTTGAGGCTCCAAACAAGTTTATTTACCGATAAGATAAAAATTAAATAAAATTTTTGGAGCCTCAAACTATTGCTTGGCATTCAGAGATCTTTATGAGGCTTCGGGACAGCACTATTCTAAGATCTCTTTTTTGTTCAATATTATTAGCAGGTTTACAGAGGAGAGATTCAAAAAAAGGCTTTTTTCAAAATTCAAAAAATATCGTCAAAAAAGCAAAACTCCATTGAGTTGTTTTTGAAGAGGTCATAATATTGAAAGCGTGAAGTGTGGAAGTTCTTACTTTAAGAAAATTCAGAAGTTATATATATATATATATAATAAAAAAAACATCCTACTTACTATAAAGCGCTTCGTCTGTCGTCTGTCGTCTGTCGTCTGTGTCGTGTGTCGTGTGTCGTTCTGTATGTCTGTCACGAAATTCCCTAGCTCCTCGGGATCCACCTGGAGGGACCGGGTCAAGTGTGGGATGGGTGGGCAGGGTCTCACGTAATACAAAACACACATCAGCTAAGCGGAGCCCCGCCCACAGAGGGCGTGGCGTGCGTCGAAATGAATTGTACCGAAGACCAAGATTTCGATTTCAGTGACAAAACGACCTCGAAACTGGGCCAAAAAGTGGGTAAGGTGTGCATTGGTAAGTCACATCGAATTAGGGAGACCCACCCCGGTGGGCGGGGCGTTCTCCAAAAAAGCAGTGCTTTATGAAAAATTTCATAACTCGGTTGGGAGAAAGCCTACAGAGCAGAAAACAATTTGGTGTAAGGGAGCAATGTCTAAGGTGTTTCCTGCATACATGACGTGGGCGGAGGCCCGCCCAATGGGCGGGGCGCGCTCTGAAGTGTACAGCATTTTCTACAAGCCCTCATAATTCGGGTCGGGGAAGTCCTAAAGAGCCGGAAAAAGGTGGATAGAGGTGTATGGAGGAGTGGAGGCCAGCTGTCAATGGTGGGCGGGGCTTGACCAAAGTGGGCGGAGTTTGCGACGAAAATTTATAACTCGGCTCCATGAAGCTCCGGAGGCTGGGGAAAAGGTGGATAGAGGTGGGTGGAGGGAGTGGAGGCCAGCTGTCATCGGTGGGCGGGGCTTGACCAAAGTGGGCGGAGTTTGCGACGAAAAATTCATAACTCGGCTCCAAGAAGTCCCGGAGGCCGGGAAAAAGGTGGAGGAGGTGGGAGGAGTGGAGGCCAGCTGTCATCGGTGGGCGGGGCTTGACCAAAGTGGGCGGAGTTTGCGACGAAATTCATAACTCGGCTCCAAGAAGTCCCGGAGGCCGGGAAAAAGGTGGATGGAGGTGGGTGGAGGAGTGGAGGCCACTGTCATCGGTGGGCGGGGCTTGACCAAAGTGGGCGGAGTTTGCGACGAAAATTCATAACTCGGCTCCAAGAAGCTCCGGAGGCCGGGAAAAAGGTGGATAGAGGTGGGTGGAGGAGTGGAGGTTAACTGTCATCGGTGGGCGAGCACGCACCTAAGTGGGCGGAGTTTGCCAAAAGTGTCGTAATTTGGTTCCAAGAGGTCCCAGAGACCGGTGAAAAAAGGGGTAGAGGTCGGCGAAAGGAAGGGGGCCAAATGCTATTGGTGGGCGGGGCACGCACCGAAGTAGGCGGAGTTTGCCACGAGATTTATTGTCCGGAAGCAGTCCGGAGACCGAGAAAAAGAGGATAATGGTTGACGAAGAAAAAAAGGTTGAAAGCCGTCGATGATGGAGCGGATTGAATTTCGTAGTGTATCAAGCCAAATATGAAAATTTTTGTCGCACCATCAAAGTTCGCAGCAGATCTGTGTTGCGCGCGCAATGCGTGCGGCGCCAACTGGTAAATAAATAAATAAATAAATAAATGAAGTAAACAAGTTCACATTGGCCACGATCATGATTTTTCCCACAAAAACCTTCATTTTTGCAATTCTATGCTGGACGGGTTCTCACTATTTCGGGGTTCGGCTTCTGTATAA